ATGTGTATAAGAGACAGGAGAGAGAGAGAGAGAGAGAGAGAGAGAGAGAGAGCAGGAGAGCAGGCTGGCAGGCAGGCGAGCGGCTGGGTAGGAGGCTGGGTGGGCGTGGTGCAGGAAGGCAGGGTTTAAGAGATGATATACATCAGAGATTCAGAATTGATGACACTCAACATTCAATGACATGAGCATATCACACCACCGTGACACAAGATCATGCCACGCTGATGGAAAACGAAAGGTAAGAAACAATTCCGCTTGTTTCATCTTTCCAACGACGCCCAATGATCCACCGTACTGTCCGCTGCTGGCTGACCCACGGCCGTCTTTTCGTCCGCTAACACTGCTAAAGACCGTGGCAGGTGACAAACACAGGGAAGATACGGAGCGAAGAAGAGAGAAAGACGGTGGCACAATTTCAGTGATTCAAGCAATGAAGTATGGTGGCCTGAGAGACCATTGCAATGACTTGCTGGTTTCTGGTTGCCTGTAGCTTCTCTCTTGTCGAGGCTGTACCATGTGTAGGAAAGATTCGTGATCTTGTTTGGCTGAGGGCTAACCGAGAGACCTGTCTGTAAGGAAATTCGTTAGGGACATATCTGCAAATTCGGGAAAATATAGGCCCGTACTAACTAGAATTCCCTACAGCTATCCTAACTGTGAAATGCAGGCCGGGCTACCCCTAGGACAGACAGGCCCTAAGGGCTTAAGCTGATAGACGGTCCTATAGCCTATAGCCGGGTTGGGAGAGGCCCTAGAGGCCGAAGCAGAAACGGTACCGGTCGGTCAGTCAGTCCGGTCTAGGTCGAGTCTAGGCTAGAGTAGACTATAGATAGGATGGGGACATGGGTTCAGGGCTTTTGGTGGTTGGTACCGTGTACATCGCTGCTGTGCAACGCGTGAACTGGAAGTGGTGACAGCTCAGCGTTGAGGGAGACAGACGTAGCCAGACCTTCGGAGCGCCGGCCATAGCTGGGACCTGCGCTGTACTCTGTCAGCACGTGGGGCTGTACAGAGGTCTGGGCTATTCGAGGTCTGCTGGAGGCGAGAGAAGTTGGTMCCCTGCTGGACCCTCCTCTGGAGTAGGGTTACAGGGTTGTGGCGCTGCAGCCATAGCTGCAGCGTCCTCCTCAGAGATCATCTTGTCAGGAGTGGTGGCGCTGCTGCAGACTTCCACCCGGGAAGTCGTTCGACACTTCGTCATCATCAGATACTGTGGCGCTGGACTTCTTCTTCATCCTCCGAGTGGCGCTTTCATGGTGGCGCTTCCCTCTGGAGGCTGTATCTGGGTGGCGCTTGATGTTTCAGGGACTCGGGGGTAGTAATAGCGGTTCATCAGGGTTGGGGAGTGAAGCGCTACTCATTTCTGAGCAGCGCATCATAGTACTGAGGTTATCATGACAATTTGAGACTCTGAGTTTAATAAACAGTGTTGTTACCATGGCTGTGCAGGCAACTGGCCGGTTGGACCGGCCCGGTTGGACCCCCGGTGGTCCAACCGGAATTCCGGTTGGGTCCAAAAGTGGGTCAATTTTTTTTAATTTTTTTTTTTGTTGAAAACATGGTTGGACTGCGCTCACGGAGATCTCCCCGAATCCGCAAAGAAAACTTTGAACAGAGAAGTTTCGTTTGGGGGGTTGGGGGGTGGGGGGG